AAATTCCAGTGAAATATATTTATGTTTGTGGTTGTAATGTGACAAAATATGGAAAAGTTCAAGGGGTATGAATACTTTTGCAAACCACTGTAAATTCAATATTTTCCTGACTCTAGAAATCATTTCTGATCGCACAGGGATCAAACAAACATGTCCTTCACACATGCATGTTTAACATAGGTTAATGAAGGCGTGTCAGGGGAGGAGTCTCACGTGTGCTCAGTTCCAGGTTAATTGTGATGTACAAAAGAAATGTGCATGGATTCAAGCGTACGCAGTTTGATACATCTGGATTTTTTTTGTGCGTACGCCGTTTTCTGGATTTGACCGTACGCCATGTTTCAGTAAGAAATCCACGCAAATCTTTGTACATGAGGCCCGTAGTGCTGCTAAACACCAACTTTGGTACACTTTTAGTTAAAATATCTGCATTTTGTAAATGTCTTATGTGCTAAATAAGAAACAACTCTAATAGATGAGTATTTAGCAAATAATTGTGTAGATGGGTTTTTGCATTTGAAGGGAACCTTCATTTATCTGAGAGAGAGCAACAGTAAAACTAAAAAAGATGGAATACTCCAACAGCCTTATATGGATAGAATAATGGAATAAAATTACCTTTAATGTCATCAAGTTTGTTCACCGTTAGAGAAGGTTTAAAAAAAAAAACATGCTTTTATGTTCAATTTCTTCTCTTATTTGGCTGTAAGTGGTCATTTTAGTCAAAACAATAACTAAACATGACCTGTCAACATAAGTCTACTACAGACCCTTAGAGAAGTCTATAAAATCAATTTAAAGTAGTTTAACATTTGTCGCCACAATTTGGAAAGTGGACAAACAAACCAATTATTTTAGAAAATTAAGTGTTTTGTTTTTTACACTTTAAAACAGCTACATATCTCAGGGCATCTCATGTTCATCTTTGTCTTTCTGGAGGTTTACAGCTGTGTGCTTTTCGGTCAAGACAACAGTTTTTCACAAACTCACTGACTCTGTCAGCTACAAATGTATCAACTTTAACCCCATCATGAATGATAGCCTCACCAATGTTTGCAGTGATAATTCATAATTCTAAACCTTTACAGTTTTAAAGCAAGGCATCTGCATTGATAAATGATATGCACCCACATATAAAGGAAAATCGGGACCAGATAGAAAAACCCTGGATTTTTCTTTGAAGAAAAGCGCAGTGATGAGAAGTGTGACATAAGTGGGTCATTCGTAGTGTACATGCAGGTGCCAAGAAAGAAACTGGGGAATCCTGAGGCTGTTGAGATGCTGCTGATACGGCTTCATGTCGAAACTGACTTTTCAACAAGAACTTAAAAAATATATATTAATACACAACATTGGACATATCAGCAGTGCCTCAAGTTAAGGTCTCAGTGTTCAGCAGYCAAATATCTGTGTCAGAGGTGGAGGGAAAATGCTTAGATGAAGGGGAGAACAGGCCACTTACTAGGCAACCGTGCCTGGGCCTGAGATGTAACAACCAACCTCTGGGACAATAGGCTGGGCTGGATGGCATAGCTGGGGGCTAAAGCCGGCCTGGTGACCTGTGTTAATCCAGGCTGGCTGATTGGAGCCACAGAGCCCACAACTGTCCCAGCTAAGGTCTGACTCAAGGCTACAGCCCCCAAAACATGCTGCCCATTGCCACTGCTCCCAGAGGATGCTACGGAGGAAGCTGCAGTGTTGTTGCTGCTGCTGACAGGAGGAGTAGCCTGGGTTCTCTGAGTAGCTGTTCCAGTGGCTGTGAAGTACAAGGCAATGGGGTRTGGGACTTCATGTTAGGTGTAACCCAGTATTTAGTCAGATCATTGAGATCAAGCTGATGTATTCTTAATTATTCACTCTGTAGTGCTAAGCTGACAAAATATGAGGAATTGTATTGTCACTGGCAAGATTAATTAGTGCAAAATAAAAAAAATGACTAATGCAAAAATATTAAGGTGTATTGCAGTATGGAAAATTCATATAAAACTTGTGTTTGGAACACCCCCATTATGGCGTTTATGAAATTACAATCTTAAAGCTGGGGCTCCACCTGCAATGAGCATGAGATGTTGTCAGTCAGCTGTAGCATGAAAGCAAGATGAACACAAAAGTAATTTGTTCTGACAAGATGACTGTGTCTGCAGTGTTGACATACACTGCAGACACAGTTTCGCATTTATTGGCATAAAATGGATTAAAACAAAAATGATCAGACAGCTCTGATTTTGTGTATTTAATCCAAACAGTATATTTTCTTGCACAGACTGTGTGTAATTAAACKGCAAAAAACACAGCAGCTAAGACATTTATCAATGTTTTTAAAAACAAATGATACATATTTCTTTTACTTTAAAAACAGATTTGTGTGTGACTATAGCCTTTTCTATAAATTGTTACACAAAAGCTGAGATCCAACAAACGAAATACTAAGCAACACAGTAATGAAAAATGTGTTGGAGAGCATGGGAACCTGTAGCTTCATTTGTTGTGTAAAGTTGTGCAGCTTTCAGGTAAAACACACCACACTCTAGTATGAACTTAAATAGATGAATGCTTTATGACTGCTGCCTGTTCAAGTTGACCAAAATTCACCATACAGATGTAGGAGAAATGTTTGATCTCCATAAATGCAGCACATTACCTAAATGTACTTTTGTAGTGCATATTTTGGTGCTGCCATGTTTATATGATCCTGATTATTATTAATTTGTTATGCATAGCACAGTAAATAGGATTAATTCAATTCAATTAATTCAAAGCAGCCTTTTAATCATGCAGCATAACACTGCATAATGCACACATCACAAATAGGAGTTAAAAGTACCAAACAACTACAGTAGAGGGGGTAAGGTTCGGTCTTACAATAAGATGCATAGATAATTAGGAATTTCTCTAGCTGACATTAAACATAAATTCCCTGAAATCTTACCTTGTGAAGTGGGTGTAGATGCTGCAGTKGTGACAGGGGACTTGCCCCTGGTTTGGCCTGACTGGCTGCTGATGGAAGACGAGGTACTGGTTTGAGGAGAGCTGGTTGGAGGACGCTGACCTGCTGCAGTTCCAATAGCAGCTAAGCGACCTTCTGGCTTCGTGCCATATTGAACTGGCTGGAACAATCTGTAAAAACGTAATGTGGTGCAACATTAAAGTGTTAAGAATCTTCACACACTCTGATGACGGCTTTCACAGGCAGCGTTTCAGAACAGACCTCATGGGTTTAATTGGACAGGGTTTGGGTCTTGGTGGCTGGTCTGGACTCGTGTAGATTTCCTCTATGAGCTGCTGAGTGACCTTTAGTTTGGGTACTGCCTCTTCAGTCTGATACCGCGTCAGTCTGTTCTCATTATTGATCAGATCAAATATGGACAAGTTTGCAATCTAGGATGACAATAAACAATAAAATAAAGCATGTCAGTGTAGAAATATAAACAGACTTACACAAAGCTTCTTGTTGTACTCAGAATCTAAATATTACAAAATAAATAGATATTTAGCAAATATTAGAAAAAAAAAACAGTTTACTTCTATAATTATTAACCTATCACTCATTGGCCTTAGCACCACAGAAATCAAGATACCTCATGTACCTTGAAGTAAAATAATGTTTTTTTTTTCATTTAATATAAATATTTAATAAAAGTTTTAAATTAATGATTTAATGCAGCAAAATATACAAATGAATATAGGTAAATGATAATAATGGTTGTTCATTTACATAATGCAGTGTTTCCCCTACCATTATCTRGTAATTATATGCAGAATGTTGGTGCTAGAATGTCACACAGTGACAGAGAGATAATTAAATATTATCAGGTTCTTAACAGTATTTCAATTCAGGGGGGATGTGAAGAAATTTAAGTTCCCTTGAGGGTGAGAATAGAGAATAATTAAAAACCACTTGTCTTCTATTGCTGTTTGATTAAAAAACAAAACAAAAAAAAAACGGCAATGTTACTTGGGTGAAGGAGTAGGGAGTAATTTTCCAAAAATTCAATGTCAAACTAAATAGGCAAATTTGAAGAATTAATGAAGACACAATTTTAATGGTTAATGTGTTTTACATCAGCACCTGTTAATGACACACACAGTTGTTTCCTAATAATGCTTTTCCAGTCTGTATGCTTGTTTAAACACAAATCCTACCATTAGTCACTGCCCCAGAAATAAGAAAAAAAAGGAAGGTAAAAACAAAAAACTACACAACTTAGACAAGAAAAACTAAATAATTACTGGCCAACTAAAATAGTGTTTCTACTTAAAATAATAGGACTGTACGTGTGTGGCCAGAAGGGGCTGAATCACCCCTGCAGGACTGCTTTGAGTGTACTGACTGGGATGTGTTTAAAACAGCAGCCACCAGTGACCTGCTTGTTGCTGTAAATGAATATGCATCATCTGTCACTGGGTTCATCAAGAAGTGTGTGGATGATGTGACTGAAATAAAGCAAATTCACACACTCCCAAACCAAAAGCCGTGGATGAACAGCGAAGTTCGAAGCCTGCTGAAGGCTCGAGATGTTGCCTTTAGATCTGGCAACAGTGAAGAACTTAAAGTGCCAGACACAATCTGAAGGTTGGCATTAGAGCTGCTAAACACACCTACAGCACACAAATTGCAGCCTACTTCAACTCCAGCTCAGACCCCAGACGTATGTGGCAAGGAATCCAAACTGTCACTGACTATAAAAGTAAAGCCAACAGCACCACATGCACAGACTCCTCCCTCCCTGCTGAGCTGAACACCTTCTATGCTCGCTTTGAGGACACTGCTCAGGCACAGCTGACCACCACTGCTCTGCCCTCCTCCACCACAGACGAGCCACTCATATTGGCTACTGAAGAGGTGAGGAGAGCTCTGATGCGAGTACCAGCCCGGAAAGCAGCCGGCCCAGACAGAATCCCAGGCAGAATCTTAAAAGCGTATGCCAACCAACTCGCGGCCCCCTTTACAGACATCTACAACGCCTCTCTGGCACAGTCCACTGTTCTGGCCTGCTTCAAAGCCACTACAATTATCCCTATCCCAATGAAAACCAACATCTCCTGCCTGAATGACTACCGTCCCATCGCTCTCACACCTATTGCGATGAAGTGCTTTGAGAGGCTGATTCTGGGTCACATTAAGAACAGCCTTCCTGGTACTCTGGATCCACATCAGTTTGCCTACTGGGCAAACAGATCTACAGACGATGCAGTCGCCCTGGCATTGCACACAGCACTCAACCATCTGGAAGGAACAAACACGTCAGAATGCTGTTTGTTGACTTTAGCTCCGCATTTAACACCTTAATCCCATCCCGACTGGTATACAAGCTCAACACCCTTGGAATCAGTAACTCACTCTGTAGCTGGATTATGGACTTCCTCACTGGCAGACCACAGTCAGTCAGAATGGGTGACCACACCTCCCCCACCCTCACACTCAGCACCGGCTGCCCACAAGGCTGTGTGCTCTCACCCCTGCTCTTCACCCTGTACACCCATGACTGCCTCGCTAAACACAGCACAAACACCATCATCAAGTTTGCTGATGACACTACAGTCATTGGCAATATCTCAAATGATGAGGAGGGGGCGTACAGGGAGGAAGTGAAGCTCCTGGCAGAGTGGTGCACCACCAACAACCTCTCCCTCAACACCAGCAAAACCAAGGAGCTGATTGTGGACTTCAGGCGAGGGAGTAGAGCGCACAAACCCCTGAGTATTGAGGGGACATTAGTGGAGAGAGTGGACAGCTTCAGGTTCCTCGGTGTTTATATCTCAGAGGTTCTCACCTGGTCACTGAATACATCCCACATTATCAGGAAAGCCCAACAGCGCC